TATGGGATTCCTGTAGGTCCTCTACTGTTAGCAGATGGGGCCTGGTCACTGTGGGTGTGACCCACCTTTTCTCTCTGCTTCCTGACCACCATGACATCAGCGGCTTTCCTCTGGCAAGCCCTTCCACATCTGTGTTTTAGCCTGCCAACCATGCACTAAAAGTTCTGAGACTGTGAGCTAAAATAAACCTCTCCTCTTTTAGTTTGTGGATGTTGGGTATTGTGTCTCATTGACAAGGAAAGCAACTAATAAGACATCCACTAACGAGGCATCCTGACCAAGCCTTTTCATTGCCACCTGAAATCATTAGTATTTTATTTGTCTTTGAAGTATCATATGCAGTTGAGCTAATTTTGCAAGCATATAACCTAGTAAACCCAAAAGGTAGTGGTCTAAGACAGATGAAGTTTGCAGGAGATTCACCTCTACCTTTTCAGTTTGTTATTCGATGAACTTTTCAATCAAGACAACCTTTCTTTTTCCCACCTCCTTTGTTGCCTACATGACCTGGGCTGGCACTAAGATTTAGGAGCTGTGTTGCAGTGGCAGACAGAAACACTGAAATGGCACCCAGGACTTGGAGCCAGATTTATTTATGTCAACAGGCCCTGATCGGGGTCATTCCCAGAATATCAGGCCCCGATTTCTGGTGGTCTAGGGCTTTTATCTGATGCACAAGCAGGAGGTACAAAGGCAAGACTGAACAGCCTGGCAGTTCTCCTGATTAGCTAGCAGGGTGAGATTATTGGTTACAAGTGTAGATTAATGATCATCAGTTTATGAAGGTTGGTACAATGGTACAATTAGGCATTCTGTATGTTTGGTTATGCTCTTGTGGTTACAGGGGTCAAGAAAGTAATTACAAACCCATGAAGCAGTTATAGAGCTAGGCACTTTCAAAAGAACAAAGTTTTAAAAAGAACATTTTCTCTTGTACAGTTTTTCCCTTTCAGTGTTAGTCAGCTCTCTGTTACTGTAACAAAATAACTAAAATAGTCAACTTATAAGGAGGAAACATTTATTTTGCCTTACAGTTTTACAGGTTTCAGTCCATTGTCACTTGGCCTTGTTGTCTTTGTGCCTTGGTCAGGCAGCACATCATGATGGGAACATGTGGAGGAAATGCTCACTCCATGGTGACTAGAAAGCAAAAAGAAAAAGAGGAGGAGCCAAGGTCCCAATATTTCTTCCAAGGGCACCCCCAGTGACTTAAGTTCCTCCCCCTAGGCCCCACCTCCTAAACATTTCACCACCTTCCAGTACTGCCACAAGCTGGAGACTAAGACTTCAATACATAGGCCTTTGGAATATATTTATCCAGACCTTCCCACTGTGAGTTTGTGTTGATTCCCCTTTATTTCTCTTTTCCTTAATCCTAGCATCATCTAAATAGCTGGTCAGTGTCTCCTCCTCTGAAACCCATTTTGGCCCATCTCCTTTACCAGAACCTACAAGACACAATCCAAAGAAGAACCCTGAATTACCATCCTTATTTTTGGCTCCCCTCTTTCTTCTGCCAGAGGCTACCCCAAATCTTTTGATTTCAGGGCCACTGCTGGGAAGGAAGAAATCTGATGATAGACCGAAATGCCATGAACCAGAACAGTGTCTTCCCATTATCGCCCTCTCATGCTGTCCCCGCTTCACCAACACAGCATTGCTTCTCTCCCTTCATAAATGTATTTTACACTTGGTTTTACTCTCTGTCTTTCTCCGAGTAGATTTATTTTTTAATGAAGCATATGTGCTTGGGATTTACAAGGACAGAGCATTATCCTCACTGATACTTCTACAGGCTGAGTATTCCTCATCCAAAATATGTGAGACCAGAAACGTTTCAATTTTTGAGTTTTTCCAGATTTTGGAAGATTTCCTTATACATCATGAGATGTCTTGAGGATGGGACCCAGCACTTCCCATAGACCTTATATACATAGACTGAAGGTAATTTTGCACATTATTTTAACCACACCTAAGTTTTGTATTTGTGCTGCGAAGCGAGCACTCCCACCTGCACTTTGACTGAGACTCATCCCTTAAGGTCAGGTGTGTTTTCCGCCTGTGGTGTCATATTAGGGCTCACCAGGTTTTAGATTTTGAAGCATTTCTGGTTTTGATCTTTCAGATTACGAATGCTTAGTTTGTCCTTCCTGATTTCTTAGCAAGGGCAGAGGATCATGTGTACACTGTTCTATCTGCTCTTTACAGCAACCCTAAGAGGAAGATAAGTTCTTTCTTCAGTTTCACAGAACTCGGCCCAGAGTAACTCATATGACACAGTTAGCACTTGGGGAATTTGGTGTTAGCGCCCAGGTTCCCTGCTGGCACCCGCTGTGCTGCGCTGAGCAGATGCGTGTGTGGAGTCGTCACGTCTCACACAAACCAGCAACTTGGCCTTTTGTTCCCCACCTCAGGTCGCGTCCTCACTCTCTGCGCCTCCCCCTTCCCATACCGTGCATCCATTTGCTCAGCTAGGCAGGCCTCTTCTTGGACATGCTCTGTTTCTCATCTGTTTTAGTTCACTTTCTGTTGCTATTAAAAAAAAAAAAAAAAGCCTGAGGCCAAGTAATATGTAGAGAGAAGAGATGTATTTTGCTTACGGATTTGGAGGTTCAGGGCCATCAGTCCTACCCAGAGGCCCCCTGGGCTGAGTTGTAGAGTAGATGGCATCACAGTGGGAGTGTCGCATGAGAGCAGGTGTCTTGGTTACTTTTCTCTCCTTGCTGAGACAAAATACCCAACGCTCAAAATGAAGGAAGGAAAGGTTTATTTAGCCTTTAGTTCGTGGAGGTTTCAGTCCATACTTGGCTGGCTCCAAGGGAGAAGGTAGCAAAGCAACAAGAACAGAAGGGGAAATGGCAGCCGAACAGCAAAGCAGCCAGAGCAAAAGGGAGGAATGGGGCAAGCAGCCTCTTTCCCTCCCTTACATCGTAAACAGGCTACCCCCACCTAAGGGGCGTGTAGCTCTCACATAATCTCCATGCCCTCCGCTTCCACAGGCTCAGGATGTATACAAAGTAAGCACCCTGGCTTCCTGCTAAGTCACTTAGCCAAACCTCTAGAACTCCCCAAGTTGACACAATGTATCAACCATAACAGTAGGACTGGAGCCAGAGACATCTGTAAGATCAGACTCACTCTTTTATGACAGCTCCCTTGTGAGAACCAGTGTCCCCCTTACAACGATGTCAGTTCCCTCCCAGGGCAGGGCCCCCAGTGACCCCATGAGGAGCAAAATCAACTCTGTACACTCAGTCTTTATCTTGTTACCCTACAAGGGAGCAGTGGAAGACAAGTATCTCAGGTTTGCCTCTCCCATTCTAAGAGCCTGGCTTCACCCTTCATGATGGACGCCCTCTGTCAGGGTTATGTAACTGTGAAAATGTCAGTGAACATTAGCTGTGTGTGTGCCTTGTGAGCGTTTGATACTGCCTCCCAGAAGAAAGTCATTTCAGCTGGCACAGTGATTACACACAGCACCGCAGCCCCTCAGCAAAGACAAAAGGATCTCATTGTTCTCATTTGTGGTTTTGCCAGTGATGGTTAGCATACTCAGCCAGTACTACACCATGCCCAAGCTGGCTTCTTTTCTTGCTAAACCAGATGACCAGGCGGCCTCAAGTTTGAGGTTACTGAAGCTGGAAGTTGCCTCTGGAAATAGAAGGCATCCCCCACCACCCTTGACCTGAGGCGTAGCCCCCTCTGCTTCCATGTGCAGGAAAGATTTACTAAGCAGGAGACAATAGAGGAATGAAGAGAAGACGGAGTAGGGCCAACATCTTTCAAGGCTCTTTTTAATGACTGCTGTAGGAAGCATCTCAGTGCCTGGCATCCTCACTGACCATTCCAGCTAAGTGACTGATGAAGGTCTCTTCCCCAGGTGGAGCAGTAGACTTGTTCTTTTCATCCCGATAAGTTCTGAAGCCCAGAGAGCATCCTTTGATAATCCCCCACAGCACACGCCGGCCTCTGCCCCAGAGCTGTGGGTGGTCTCCAAGGGGTTTTCTGCGTATCCTATAGAACACGTTTGTTTATTGGTGTTCGTACCCAAGGCATCGTGAAAGCTCATGGGTTCTGGAATGAGACCTCCCTTACCCTGCTGTTCCAAGGTGCTTCTTGAAGCCATCCAGAGGAAGTGAGAAGTACCAGCCATGGCAGTAGACATGAAAGGCTCCCTGGCACTCATGGGGAAGGAATGCTTCAGCAAGCTGTCTTTATTCCAAAATGTGCTTGGTTTAGCAGCCCTCTCCCACCGTGTCCCTCTCTGCCAGCCTGTCCCAAGGCATGTTTCCTTAAAATACCCAAGTTGCACCCACTACAACCAAGATCTGTACTTGAACTTTTGTTATTGTTTAATCTTGCCATAGGTCAGAGTAATCATTTTAGGTGGGCAGGACTTCATGGTGTAGCAGCTTTTTGCTTCTGAAGTGTGAATGACCATGTAGTAGAGAAGAGAGAATCAGCATATAATCTCCTGTCTCCACCCCACAGTACATGTAACTGCTAAAAACAGATGCTGGCCCAGAGTATATTTTCACCCTGCACAAATGTGTCTGCCTTCACCCTAGAAACGTGAGCTCTTGCCTTAGGCAATAAAGCCCTTGACTCAGGTCCACAGGACCATTTGCCTCCTAGACCGGAGGAAAAGGAACTCGCTGTGCCGATTCCATGTAACTTAGAAGCGAGCCGCTGGCTTCTTCTCTCCCTGCCTATCTCCCTCTACCACCCCGCAGTGCACCTGCTCCTCAGTTGCTCCCTTCATTCCTCTGCGATTTTTACCTATACGAATGAAAAAATTACTCTAACCAACTCAATTCTGATAACTTCATGGCACACACAGAAAAAAACCCTATCAATTAAATTGTAATAGTTTCATGGAAAAAAATAAACCTACTCCAGGAATCTGACCATGGCAAGACAGTCCTGCAAAGACAACCTTAATGTCCAAAGGAAGGCATAGACTTATTGACACTAATATCTGTATGTTTCTGTCCCTGCAGCCTTAGGAAAATCCAAAGGTACAGTATCCTCTGGTACCTACAGGGCCACCTTTCAATCTCCTGAACTAAGCGAGCTATGTCTTAGTGAGCTCTGTGAGAGGGTGAATGTGCCATGTTTGGTTGCTTGGCCGACTTATCTGGAGCTGTGTGCCTATCATTAAAGTAAACTCAGAGCCTGGAGGGACAGTAGGCATGGCAGTCCCGTCCTTGCTGTGTAGACAAGCAGGGGTGGTCTGCAGCCCTCCCTGCAGAGGATGCGGCCAGGCTGCCCCAGCAGTGGTGGAGCTGGGATTGGACCCAAGTTACAAAAAAAGAGAAGAGGATTTATATTTAAATATCTCCTGGGGTTGCTTCGTGTTCTAGTTTGATGGTGTCTCTGTCCCCGCCCACCCGCACTTGGGAGGAGGAAGTGTGCCCTGCTCTCTAGTTAGGCCGCACTCTGCTCTGAGAACAGCTTGGATTCTGCACCCAAGGAGCCTGGCAGCCTTTTGCCCTGAGGCCAGCTGGCTTTGACAGAGGGTGGAAGCACAGCCTGGGGAGTCCCAAGCTGCTGCGTGCATCCCACTGCAGCCTTGCCACCGTGGACGCGCCGCTCTTGCCAAGCCTGGGTTGTGGGGGCTGCGTCTCAGCCGGCCCCAGCAGTCTGGGCCCTGCAAGAGTTGCTGGCCAATCCCTGCCCGCCCGCTGCACATCGCTTCCCCGGCCCAGAAGGGTGCTAAGCCTGCGCTGCTCTTCTCCTGACACAGACCTGCTTAAATGTCTCTGCTTTCGGGGGGAAGGGAGCCTGCCAGCTGTCACGCGTTCGTAAAAAGGTGTCTTTGTGTCCCTCGCCAGCATGGGTGTGAGGGTTATGGACACATCTTGGGTGGCTCGAAGAGGCTCCTCGGCTGGCCGGAAAGCATCCTGCGCCCCACCCTCCATGCAGCCTCCCGCCCCACCTGCCGAGCTGGCTGCACCTCTGCCGTCACCTCTGCCGGAGCAGGTCCCAGACAGCCCCGCAGCGGCTGTGGTGCCCGTGCTTTCTCCAGCTGGCGGGGGCCTGCAACCCCTGCAGCCCGCGGCGGAGCGCACCAGGTAAGCACTGGCCTTGCTGTCCTGGGGCGGGCTGGTTTGCCGCTGGGCATGTCTGGGCTCGCCTCCCCACCGAAGTCTTCCTGGCATGGGTTGCAGACCCTGCTGTCACTTCTGAGCATTCATGTTCTGCCTTCTGCATCATCCTGGCACCAGATCAGTCCCCCACAGCCTCCTCAATTACCACATACAGTCCTGGCTTTAGAAGCTTGCTAAAGCAGTGTGAAGAATCTCAAGTTCTCCAGCTCCCTTTGCCCACCTTCTACGCCTTTCTGATTTCTCTACTTTGAAATTGAGAATTCCAGTATTTCTCTCCTCCACCTTCGGGTTTGTAGTGGTCATCTTTGCTGCTAAAAATGAATGCAGATCAGAGAAGCAGTGGAAGTGACATAGTCCCCCTGGGCCTGGTGACCTTTGCGGCACAGCACACGGTGACATTCCCATTCTTTTAGGGGAAGTTAAAAGGAGAGGTAGCAGGTTTGTTCCATGGCAGGTTCACTGAACAGTAGCAGTGCTTTCTCTGTCTATGGACTGTAAGACTGATCAGTGCCCTTAACGAGTCCGTGTTGCAGTGAGCAAACAGGCCCAGCAAATAATCACAGCACTGGACTGGGACACACAGTGACTCGAGCGAAGGAGGCTGTGCCCAGTGGCGCAGCGAGCATGGGGTGCTGGAAATGACAGCGGTATCATGAAGCAGCTCGCTGCTTGTTCCTAGCTGTTCTCTGACAGCACTTAGAGGAGCAGGAAAGCTGGTTAAAATGAAGTGCGGCTGCGTGTCCTGTCGGGGTAGAGAGCCACACGAGGAGGGCGTGGAGGAGACTCTGGGAAGCTTAACTTTTTAACTCGGTCCCCCCCCACACACACACACGCACGCACACTTTCCTAACCCCAGAAGGGGGACTTGCAAACCTGTTTTTTTCTCCTCCTCCTCTTCCTCCCCATTCTTCTCCCTCTCCTCCTTGTCTTCTTTCTTCTTCCTCTTCAATAGGTAGATGATACTGTCACAACTCCAGAATTTGGGAGATGGACCTGATACTGTGTGCTGGGGTTGTTGCTAATGGCTCCAACCACGGGGGACACCAAGAGGTCCTGCTGTACCCTGCTGGGCTTCAGGTCCGCTTGAGAGATGAAAGGGGCCAGAGGAAGCTGGGGCAGAAGCAGAGCCTGTCAGGGGCAGGCCAGACAGGCCGGCCAAGAGGGACATGTCGACGGGACATGGGCTGAGATGATCCCCTCTTAAATGGTCCCCTCTTAGGACACACACTGGTGTCATTCTGAATTCCCATTTCTTTTTTTTTTTTTTTTTTGAGACAGGGTCTCACTAGATAGGTCAGGCTGGTCTTGAACCCACTATGTAGCCCAGGCTACCCTTGAACTTGTGGCAATCCCCCTGCCTCAGCCTCCTAAAGCTGTACTTACAGGCGTGCAGCACCATGCCTACATCTGACTTCCCATTTCATCAGAGACTCTTATTTGACATAATGATATAAGTGATATTTCTAAAAAAACAAACAAAAACAAAAAAATGCCTCTTGAGGATGGAGTTCCCCAGGCTCTGCAGGCATTCCAGTAATGACATGGATCGGCTTGCAGTCACTCATGGGCAGGGATTGTCACGCACTCGTTCGGGTTATTTGAAAGGCCTCTTGACACTTTTCTGCATAGGCCCCCTTTCCCTGGGCATTTGGTTCTGTAGCTTTTCTTCAGGTGTGAGCACTTTCTCTTGTCCTATTGTGTCCTTTCTCTCCCCACGTGGCCTCCTCTCAGCACAAATGGGTGCTCCATGCTCTGTCATTGTGTTTTTTGTTTTCTGTTTTCTGGACATTTGCAGCATGGATGATGCTGCCTGCAGCTGCTGGACTCCCCTGAGGATGGCAGGCCCTCCGTCACCCTCCCACCCTGGGCCTTACCTTCAGCTCCCTCCCTTCCAGGCCAGTGGCTTTGTCCAGCCAGGCTGTCCCTCCACATCCTGCTCCACCCCTTGGCGGTAACACTGACCCCAAGCACAGCTTCTTGCTCTTTGGCACCCAGGTTACTGACTGAGTCATGTGACCTGAGAACTAGCCCAACCTGTGCCATAACCACTCCTTCATCTAGCACTCCCAGAAACCACCCTCCACCCACCTCTCTCTTTGGTCAGCTGCACCAGTGCTGGAGAGAGAGGAGCCAGGCGCAGTAGGTAAATACTTGTTTCTGTGCTGGGAAGTGCATCAGGGGGAGGGGACAGAAAGAAGAGCCAGTCCTTTAATTCCTAGACAGCTGTCTTACCACAGGAAGGGAGAAGAGTCTGTGGTCCCTCAGAAAGCACTTTTTTGGTTTGCTGATTTGGTGTTTTCTTTGGTTTGTTGTTTTAACTGGTCGTGGGAGAGACAGGTAGAAGGAAGTAGATGTCTGACGTAAATGCCAGGTGCCTGGTGACTCTGCGACTGAGGAAGCGTGAAGGATGAGGCTTCGTCCAGCTGACAGGCACAAGGGTTTTCAGTTCTTGCTTTTCATTAACAACGTAGAGACAGGAATTTTTGTTCTGCTAGTCCTTTTGGATAAAATGACTTTTTTCCCTTGGAAAATGTGTGAGGTATGGAGCTCATCTCACAAGAGAAAATACCACCACCTTGAACATGGCCAGTCTGCCTGCCTGCCTTCTTTCCTTCCTTTCTTCTTCCCTTCTCTTCCCTCTGCCCCTGTCTTCGTCCCTCCCTTCTTTCCTTCCTTCCCTCCCTCCCAGAACTACTTGTGACTGATGATGACTCCTCTTCCAGCCCAGTTCTCTGCTCCCAGTCTTTCGCAGTGTACCCCAGTGGGCATGGATGGTGGATTCATTTTGGTATTTCCTCCACAGTCACATTTGGATTTTCTAAATAAATTTAAGGAAGAAATAGGATCTGACTGCTTTTGTGAGGGAAGAAACCACCCCTGAGAAAGATGTAGGTTTTCAGACTGCCCTCCTCACACATTAAGAGCATCAGAGCCCAGGGAAGACTCAGCCAGGATGACAGCGCCCAGCATCAGAGCACTCCAGATTCACCAGGGCTTGCCGGGAGCACCATGTAGAAAGGACCGCGAGCCCATGGGGCTGTGTGAGCCCTGAGCCCTCTTCCCGGGGATGGCATGTCGGCTGCTGCAGGGAGATGGAAACCTGCCCTGTATTTGTCACACTTGGTCTGTGCACGGGAGTTGACCTGAGCATTTCCTAACATGAACTTTTGTCCTTATCAGAGAGCCTGAGAAGGAGCCTTGTAGTGAGGGTGAATCCCCTGGTCCCTTTGTCAACTCTAAGGTCCTCCAGAGACCAGAGTCCCTTTTTGACCCTCAACTCGGCAAGCCCAAAGCACTGGGACTTGAACTGATGTACATGCTGGGTCACGGTGTCAACCCTGTTACCAGCTGGGGCCTGTTACTGGGTGTGAGGGTGGGTCCCAGAGTGCCTCCCTTACCAGCTCCCTGGGGGCACGATGGGGAATTTGGGCAGGTGGGTGGAGCCCACAGCCATGGGCTGGGCAACGTCAGCCCTCGCAGGCCACACTGACCTCGGAAGTCCTCTTAGCGCCGGTGTCCTAGGGAGGCAGAAAGGGCAGGAGTGCCTGGTGTTCCCGTTTCAGAGTGTCCTAGAGTTCCTGCATTAACAGCAGGGTGCAGGAGGACACACAGGGTCCCGGCCTCACATCATTCAAGTCTCCCTGAGGGCAGAGGTGTGAAGAGCGCTGGCAGGGAATGCCCGGTGCGACAGAGCCGAGTTGAGCTGGCCACCAGGGTCTAAGAAGGGATCCTTTGTGGAGCACTGTTGAAGGCTGAATTAAGGAAGGGAGACAGTTCGGAACCTGGAGAGAGCTAAGCATGACCCAGAAGACATGTAGAGTCACAGCTGGCAGGCCTGGTGCTGGAATTGCCTGAGCTCAGGGCTTCTCTCTTGTCCCGTGTGCTTGTATTTCAGCACCTCTAAAAGCAAGGAATTATCTCCAGGGTCTGGGCAGAAAGGAAGTCCAGGCTCTGGCCAGGGAACAGCCGGTCCGGGGACACAGCCAGGCACCAGCCCCAGCCAGCCGCCTGCGGACCAGAGTCCTCATACCCTCCGGAAAGGTGAGTCACCACTTCCTTTCAGGTCAGTCTCTGGCAAGTGGTGGTTGATATGTTCCTGGAGCTTCACTGCCCTCACCAGCATGGTTATTTAGAAATTAAATCATGTGGCTTAGTGAGTGATTCCCAGTCTAGGCATAAGAGCTTTGGAAAGCTAAACATCCGCAGTGGGGGGTCATGTCGCCATTATTCTTCAGGTCACTGCGCTGAAAAGTGAACTTGAGGGCATATGTAGGACAGCGCTTTCCCCATGCCGTGTGGTTCAGCCTGTGCAGAAGTCATTGTCTGGAGCGGCGTGTGTCCTCTGTGCACTTGCCAGGCCCTATCTTCATTATTTAAAAAGCAAGGTGCGGTCATCTACGTGAGCCCCCCACCCCCGTGCCGGTTGTGCTCAGCTGTCCCCTCCCAGGATCCCTCATAAAGTGACAGAGGAGGGCATCGGCACTGTTTTCCGCCAGTCCAGACCCTCCCATATTTCTGTTTTGGAATTGAAGAACATAGCTGCTCTCACCTGTTGCTGCTTGGGCAGAATCCTCCCACGGGAACGGGCACAGTTACTGTTCTCTTTAGAGAATCATTCTTCAATGCTGAAGATACTCTGCATGGCAGCATTTCATAAACAGAGAGCTGTGCGGAAATGGACTAATGTGGCCCTTTTTATTTCCACCTTTGTATTGCCAGCAAAGCCTTTCCCTTGTCTAAAATCAGACTGTTCCCTTTGTTCTAAATTCAGACCTTTCATGCTTCTAGGGTTGGCTTTAATTCCAGGACTGGTCAGATAGGGCCAGTTTGTGTCTGATACAGACCTCCTGTTACAGGCCCTTTCGGCCCTCCGAGCTCCAGATGTGTGACAGTTCCTCTTCCTAGTCTGTCCACACCTGGCCCTGTGATCTTGTTCATTCCATACTTGTGCCTGGTGCATCCTACAGATGCTTAGTGAGTGTGGCCATGAGCAGAGCTCTGTGCTTCCAGAAGGGTGCAACTGTAATACAACGATGGTGCCACTGTGCCATGGGACATCAGGACCCTGTGGGACACATGGGGAACCCTGTCCAAACTCAGAAGTTATAGAGCAGGTGGTCCAGGAGAAAAGGCATTTCAAAGGCTAAACAGGGAGTGGACCAAAGTGATGGTGGTAGGATTCTGGCATGCCAGGGCTCTTCCTCAGCACCAGCAGGGTGCCCTTGTGGTCTAGACACTGTAGCTCTTTGGCATTTCTCTGTTTACAACTCCTTCCCAACTTTAAAAAGTAGGAGTGAAGGCTAAGCCATTGTTTTGTCCAATAGAAGCTGCATAGATCTTTTTGCAGTCAGTCAGCTTCCTAATATTAGTGACACGTTGACCCATTTAGTTTTTGCAGTAGTATTAGTTTTTGAATCTATGCAAGAAATGTAGCCTAAAGTGGCTCTGGTACCTTTCTCAGATGGCATTCAGTAACTCAGAGCTATCACTGAAATGCCTAACTTTCTTTTCTATTGTTCATCATTGCATTTATTCTTTAGATACTGTAGTTTTTTGACTGTGTGCCTACAGTTGATCAGACCCTGATCCTGTCACTTCCCAGATGTGGTATCACCTCAGGCATGGTGATGTCACTGTGTCCTCCCTCTTGCAGGTCATTTAGTAGAAGACATGTTCTCAGGCACTGATACACAGGGCCTGCACTCCAGGGGGCTGACTACATGTTGCTGACCAAGCACTGTCAAGAGCTATAGTAACAGCTGCTGGGAAAAATAGCCCATACTTACAAAGTAGAGGTAGAAAATGGAATTGGAAAATGATGTGGTTTTATTGTAGATCATGATTATATGTCACTCTCTATACATGATTCCATTTAATTATTACAGTATAGTAGAGAAAATACTATTCTTCCTGTTGTATAGAAGAGATTCTTAAAAAAAAATTAAGTTATAAAAAAATGCTTCAGGCATTGTAGCAGGTAAGTAGCAGGATAGAAATTTGTATCCAGGTTGGACTGTATCCATTCTACGTCCAAAGTGCAGGCTGGAGGAGCCCAGGAAATACACAAGATATCTTCGGGGTAGGTTTTGTCCCATGGAGAGGGGGGAGTGTGTGTGAAGCGCAGAAATGGAAGAAGAGGCCCTAATGCCTCCCTAAGGACTCAGAGGACAATGTCTTCCAGAGCTAGTGGTACCCATGCCCCATGGGCACTCCTTTCTGACAGATTGGTGATCAATTTCTCAAGATGTTTGCCTATCGGGTGGAGCTCCTGAATGTGTGCATTTGTGTTTTTTCACTAATTCATTGTCAATTCAAGGTATCCTGTGCTTACCACCCTTTAGAGGGATTAAGGACATGAAGGAAAATGAAGGTCATGCAAAAGAAGCTGATGCCATGATGTGCTTTAGAAAGTGCAGTCAGGCTAGGGATTTAGCTCAATGGTGGAGCATGTGCCTAGCATGTGTGAGGCCCCGGGTTCCCACCCAGCACTGCAGAAGAGGGGAGAGGAGGAAAAATTACAGTCAGTCTGTCCATGCTTGTGCCCAAAGGGTACAATTCTTGTAGGAAAAAAGGGGGGAAAGTAATGAGAGCCTGAGGAGGAGATGGGAGAAGGAAAGGGTTGGAAGGCGAGTGAGCGGGTAACAATACCGAAACACAACTGGTGCGGGCAGAGGGGGAGCAGTGCTAGCATTCATTAACAGCTTTGTAACTGTAGTCTGCAGCAATTAATTATGCATTTTGAAATAACTGGAGAAAAAGAGTTGGAAAGTTTCCAGCACATAAAAATGATAATATTTGAGAAGATGGAAATGCTAATTACTGTGATTTGGTCATTATGCATTATGTACATGTACTGAATTACAATACTTTATCCCATAAAGAAGTACGAATACGCCAATTTTAAAAAATAAAGAAGAAAGTGCCTGTGAGGCAAGTATACAGGACTGAAGCAGAGAATGCAAAGTACCGGAGGCAGGAGGTTTCTGTGACCAGAGGGTCCGCTCACGCACCAGGGCTGGAAGCCAAACCACTGGAGGTGCAGCCAAACGTCGGCATCCTGTCCCGAGGACGTTCCCCTGGGTTAGGGGTCCAGGTGACAGCTGGAACTTGAATCATCCGAGCCTCCCTGTGGCTCAGAGTATAGCAGTGGCATCTTTTTCCCCTGGGAAGTGAGCCCACTCCTGCGGATGGAAGATTTGTTCCCTGCTTTCGCTGGGTGTGTGTGTATAGACTGTGGCAGGAATCCAGAAGAGAGGAGGAGAAATTAGCTAACAGATGGAAAGATATGAAAACTTGCAGTTCCAGGTTCATTTTTAAGCACTGTATTGGCTGCTTGCTGTGTGGCAGCAGGCTGGGGGCGGGGAGACGGGGTGGTGGAGGTGGTGACCTCTCTTAGCTGTGAAGCATGTGCTAATAGGCCATACTGACAGGCCTCGTTTAACAGCCTCTGTTTTGCTGTTGTTTGTTGTTTTCTCTTTCAGTTTCAAAGAAGCTTGCACCAATTCCACCCAAGGTCCCCTTTGGTCAGCCGGGGACTGTTACTGACCAGTCCACTGGCCAGCCCTCCCCGATCAGCCTGTCTCCAACTCCACCGAGCACCCCATCACCCTACGGACTCAGTTACCCTCCAGGGTACTCCTTGGCCTCAGGCCAGCTCTCCCCGGCTGCAGCTCCTCCCTTGGCGTCTCCTTCTGTTTTCACAAGCACTTTAGCCAAATCTCGGCCCACCCCAAAGCCCCGGCAGAGACCTACCCTGCCGCCTCCTCAGCCTCCCACAGTGAGCCTCTCGGCCTCCAGCCCTCAGTCCACAGAGCACCCCATGCTGGATGGCATGTCCCCGGGAGAGAGCATGTCTACAGGTAACTAGGCTGTGGGCCCTTGAGCTTTCTGGTGAACCTTAGCCACAAGTTGCGGGGAGCGGAACTGATAGCATGACTCCAACTCACAAGTTCCCATTCACCATGAGATGGCTGTGCTGATGCCATGGGCTGCCCACACGGTGATGTCTTGGGAAACTAACAGTGAGAAGTGGCCCTGGAATCAAGCTGTATGGCAGGGGAGGCCTCACATAGACAGGGTCTGAGCCCACAGCCGAGGGTTCTGTTTCTGATCCTAATTTGGGGGTTTGAGGTCCTTTGGAGTTGGGCCTCAGGAGAAGCTGGAAGTTGCTTATGATCACAGAACAGCTGGTGTCAAACACAGGTGAGATACTGGATTTGGGTTCCCAGGACCGAGCCCAAGCAGCTAGCAGGTAGAAAGGCTTACCTGGAGAAGAGGGGAAAAGAACCAAAAGTGTTTCTTCTGTCTGTAGTGAAATACAATGGTTCACAAACTCAATTCTCTCCATGAATCTTGCTGCAAACTGAACCGGATGAGAACTGAATCAGATTTCCCCATAAAGTCAAGATTGAACCTAACCATTGAATTTGATTTGGGTCTTCTCCAGCTTGGTTTGCGACCAGAATCATGGAAAGAATCACGTTCATCAGCCAAGGTACCACTGTAGGTCTTGTAGGACAAGGTGTTTCTAATTGTATACTTACAGAAGGATCATTTTCAGAAAAGGTCCACGTGTGCCCTTCTCCCTCCCCACCCACATGCTTCCTCCAGCAGCTCACTGGGCAAACCCACCAGTACCTAAGTGGTTTGCTTTAAATTTAAAGATAGAGTGGAGCTGTCTGCTCCCAGAAAAATGTGTGAGCATGAAATTGCACACGAACCACAGTTAGCAAAAGTCTATTCATTGGGGCAGACATTTTTGAAGTATTTCCCAGACACTTTAACCACAAAGAGTATGAAGTCGGGGGCAGATTTGTGGTGGGTGCTACAGCTGGTCGGGCATTCTCCTTATTCAGGGAGACAGGCAGAGTGTGCTGCTGCATCCTGGAACAGAGCTGGTCCATCGCAGCACAGTGCAGAGCCTGGGCGCTTCTGTTCAGTGTTGTGCCAGATAACACAAGATGAAGCAGCTTGGGAGTGGAATAAATACATATACACATCACATTTACATACAAACACATATCACCCACACATATCACACGTACACACAGCACTGTATACCACACCTACACACGGACACACATCACACACCATGCTCATACCACATGTACATATGTATCGCTGTGACAGATACCAAACATACACACCTGTCACACATAACACATAGCACACATACATATCACATGTAAATACACAGGGAATGTACGTACATGCATATGCCACACATTCTCTACAGATACATACACACCACCAACACATATACCACACACATAGGCATTTATACATATACATAAACTAGATACCCAGAAGGCACAGCTAAGTGGTAGAGGTGTGCTTAGCACACACTAGGTCCTCAGTTCAGTCACCAATGCCAGAAACAAACAAGAACACACCAAACCACATATCCCATACATCAGTATCATACTACATGGTAATGTTTAAATTTCTAAAAATTTATTATAGTAAAAGACATAATGCCTTTAATCCCCCTCAAAACTCTCCTTGGCTTTGGACACACTTATCTTATCATTTGCAACTTTCTGAAGCAGTTCTGGAAGTCCTCTTTCATAAGTGTCTTTACAAGATGTGATCAATAATGCAGTGAATGCTGCTACTGAGTGCCATCCAATGGAGAGGCAGGTCGTTAAAAGTACTATGGTGAGTCTTCATCCATCTTAGTCATCCATCTTTCCTCCCTAGATGGAGGAAAGCCAGGAGCTTGTGGAATTCAGCTCCTTGCTGCCAATAAAAATACTAGTCAAATTTACAAGTGTTTGTGATGGGTCAGGAAATTTCAATATTATGGAGAAGAGCCGTCTGGCAATTTGGCTCCTCTATTTTGGGATGCGATTAATGTTGAATGTGTGCCACAGATCTGGCACCCTGCAACTCTTGGCTCCACTCCAAAGTCAAAATGACCGTGAAGGATAAACATTTTGAATTGATCAGGACATCAAGGTAGCCATGACAGCACAACTAGGGATACTCAAGAAAGGACTTCTAGAAGTCCTCAGAAAGTGGCAAGAATGACAGGATAGGTGTTTGAAGTGAGAAGGAGCTTTTGCAGGGTAATTGATGGCAGTGTGTCTCTAATAAATTTTTTAAAATTTAAACATTTTTCAAACACATACTGTACGTCAAAGGAGAATGTTGTCCTAGGTCCTAGTGTACACTGGGTGCACTCACAGATACTGCCATTTTCCCCAATGTATGTCCTCCAAAGAAAGTTAGGTTTTCTTCCCTAAATGGAAGAAAGCCAGGGGCTGGTGGAATTCAGTTTCTTGCTGCCAGTAAAAATACTAGTCAAATTTACAAGTGTTTGTGATGGGTCAGGAAATTTCAATATTATGGGGAAGAGCTGTCTGGCAATTTGGGTTCTCTGTTTTGGGATGCGATTAATGTCAAATGTGTAGCTACTGTCGAATGTGTAGCTACTGTCATCTACCTCGAGGCTTACTGAACAATTAAGGACAGTCCTTCCTGAGAAGTGACAGCGTCGCTCCCTGCTGGCAGTCCCCAGGATGATGTGTGCTCCCAAGTGGGCTGTGACGCAGGCTGCAGGCCACTGCTGCCCTTGGGAGACAGCACCTGCTCGGTTGCTCTTGGCAGGGCTCCAGCACTGCGAATCTGCTGGCCTCCTGCCCCCCATGCAGAAGTGAAGCGAAGGTGTCACTTGGAAAGGAGGGAAAGAGCAGAAAGAGCAATTTCGAGGCAGAAGTGGGCAAGAGGAAGTGAGGGGGACAGTGCTCTCATGGCTTGTGACAGAATGATTTGCTGCCTGGTGCACAGGCTTGAAGGTTTCCTGTCAGTGTTAGTGGCCTCCCCTGGCCCTGTGTCCCATTTTGTTCAGTGTCCTCTTGGTGGCATATCATGTCTGTCCACACATGCAGGTCTGCGAGCCAGTGTAGAATCTGTAATGCTTTGAAAGTGTGGCCTCCTGGGGACTGTGACACTTGGTCCAGTGTTTTTGTTACGTTCGTGTTTCGTGTTTATTCCTCTCTCCGAATCCTATCATTGTGTTCTTGCAGCTGTTTGACATGAGTGACGCAGTGTGGATACGTGTGAGGGGGATTTCAGGGTAAGCTGGCCCCGGCCTCACCTCCCTCCACTCCCTGCAGCCAGCCAGGCCCAAGCACCCCAGCACCTCCGCTCTGCATGTGGCTCTGAACAACCAGCAGCATGGCTGCCTCGCTCTCTGGCTTCCCCACCCTCAGCAGGGATGGTCTGTCCAGGAGCTTCTCTGGCTTTTTGATACCACAGGCCTTTTTCCTTTCTTCTTTTCATTGGAAGGAGCTGAGGGAGGAACCCAGCAAATGTCTCAGCTCTTCTTTCCCTCCTTCTCTCACTACAGGCCCTGCTTTCAGCCCCCGACCTCCACCGTTCCCCTACATTAGAATTTGGGAGTAGTAGACCTGTTTTTGGTAGGATATGTCCACTGGAGGCTTTTGTGTCCCATCCCCCAGGAATGTTCCCAGTGCACCTTTGTTGAGGAATCTGTCCCCATGAGAGGACTCACCTGGTGTAGTGCACATGGGGTCCACCACTGGAATCTGTAGTCCTGCCCACCAGCAGTCCTCACTGTCGGACCCAAATTTCAACACCTGTGTTCCTCTAGGCTGCAATCCTGAAGAATCCAGTTTTAGAATCCACCCTCCCCCATCCTCCCGACAATGGCCAGCCAGATCCTTTCTTTCCAACCCAACATTATTTTGTATCTACCAGATCTCTTCCTCCCATAAAGAGTAAACTTTGAAAGCTAAAACTGAGGCAAGAACTTAAAAGAAGCCAGAGAAATGAGATGTTTTTGCCTCAGTGGGAAAGGCCATATTTAACTGGGGTCCCCCTCAATTCAGTACGTGATCCTACAGAGACTAGCGACATGGCATTTGATGCCCATTGACAGGTCTCCTAACAGACACTCAGAGCTGCCATGGAAAGTGAGATAATCCTTCCCTTCTCGCGGGAGCAGTACCAAGGGTATCTCCCCTAACTCCAGTTCTTCCTGAGTATCCCTTCTCCCCTGGGATCCTTCGTGGGAGTGGGTCTGCACTCCTCATCTCTCCTGTTACTCCTCTTTGATTGCTAAAGCACAGGGTAGGTGAGAAGCTTGTCTGAGGCCAGGCTCACTGGGGGACAGGTCTGGACCCTGACAGGAAACACGTCCAGTTGGATGGCCCCAGTCGCAGAGAGGAAGGATGGTGCATAGATGTTCTTCAAGGCTGGAGAGCCACCTGCTGGGGACTGGTGGGGAGCACTGGCACTGCCTGAGCTAAGCTTTAAACTCCGCCCTCAGGCAGCAAATGCAAGTCAGGCTGGAATGACATTGTGAGGACTGTGGGGAGAGGGGCAGCTTCCATGTCTGTACAGTGTCTTTCAGGACAGTGTCCTAGTGTATGTCTGTACACTCAGTACCATACTCCTCAGTCTGAACATTTGCTTCACAAAAACAAGCAAAAGCAAAAACCCATCTCCCCACTGTGGGCCAGCGCTGCTGCCTTGTGAGTTTCCATCCTGTCACCGGGAGCGCGGCTTCTGCCGAAGTGCTAAGCAAGGCTAAGTGAAGTCCAGAAACTAAGCATGGGGAAAATAACATGACTAAGAGCAGAGAATCCAGAGCATCCATCGTGCCCAGCTCACCTGCAGCCCCCAGGGAGGCAGCCAGCTGGGCAGCAGCTGCAGCTCCAGGGCTGATTCCAGCGTGGATCTGTCTGTGGGAGCTGTTTGTCCTAACCTGCTGGCTTTGAGGACTTCTGTCTTATCTTTACCAACTCACAGATGTCCACAGATGCTGAGCTGGGTTAGCTCTGGTGCATTCCTCCTGCTCATCTTTGCAGGAAGAATGTCTGTTAAGTGCTCCTAATAAGGATGTGGCCAGAAGAGGGTGGTTTTTCTGCAAACAGGGAATCCAAGTTACTCCAGCTAGCAGTAGCTCCCCAGGAAGACCCCCCTGTGGCTCTGTCTGCTACCTGTTTCACAGAGTGAGGACACTGAGCTTTCCCACTTACCTTCCTGTCTCCTCCCCTGCCCCAGACCCCGGGGGAACCATCTGAGCTAGGTCCCCAGAAGATGTCACTGAGCCCTGCCTGCGTGTCCTGCTTACTGAGAATCGAGTGCAGCAAGTACCCCTTTCCCTCTGGCTGACATCCTCTCTGAACCGTTATGGCAGGACCTGGAGGCTTTGGCCCCTCCAGCCTTCACAGCAGCAGAGCAGACCCAACCTGGTGGTACAGTGAGTGACCAAGCTCTAAGTGACTCAGCCTAGAAAGACCAACCAACCCCTACTTCCTAACGCTAACCATTTGCCTACCATCAGCCTCTGATCCAGAAGCCCCCTTTCACCTCCCTTTCTCTCCGCCAATTGCAGATCTTGTCCACTTTGATATTCCCTCCATCCACATAGAGCTGGGATCAACACTGCGCCTGAGCCCCCTGGAGCACGCACGGCGACACTCGGTGACTGACAAGAGGGACTCGGAGGAGGAGTCTGAGAGCACTGCCCTCTGAGGCAGGTCCCACCTGACCGTGTACATAGACACGGCCCAAGGATGCACCGCCGGGAGCGGTCCCTGAGCTTGCCAAGTGTTCTCCATTGGCTCTTTCCCTCACTTCCAACGTGAGGTTGGAGTTTGGCATAAAGTTGCCATCTCCAATCTGTGTGGCAAATGTAGGTGGTGCAGATTTTGTTTGTTCCTTTTGGGTGGTGACTTTGGCCTTTTGTTTGACCTTTGCCTTTTGACTTTGTGCCTATTTTGATCCATTCTCAGCCTCCACGCCAAGCAGCACCCACCCCTCTGTCCAGGGGCTTGTCAGGAGTGTCCTTGTGGGGTAGGGGAGCAAGAAAGGATTAAGCTACCTGGTCACACCTGAGGGAGGCTGCCTTGACTGTGACAGCTGACTCTGGTCCTGCAGTATTTGTCTAATGGGCCAGAAAGGAGGCGATCAGGAGGGGAGGTGATACCTCACCCACAGCTGGACTAGAGTTAGAATCCCGGAAGTGCTGGGCACTGATTCTGCCCACTGGACAGGGGAGGGCCAGTGCAGGGGAAACCTTGGAGGTCACCCTTAATCAGAGGGCTCCAGAGTACCTGGCTTCACTAACAGTTCTATTTCCCTCTCCCCATGTGTGACTGAAAGCTCCCTTCACTCATCATTTTATACTTTGGAATTTAAAAGATCTTGACCATGTCTGAAGTACCCAAGGTAGCGCCCCCAAGCACAGCAGACATCCGAGAGTAACTGTCTGTTCTTTGTAGAGGCTACAGCGGAATAGCAATAATTCTGTTACCCAGAGCAGGTAGAAGAGTGAACCCAGCCCATGGAGATGCGGGCCCCGCGATTGGCCTGCGGTGTGGCCTGCTTTGCGCACCAGCACCTGTGGCTCATCCCTCTCATCAAGTCCCATCCAGTCCTGGGGAGGGGATGGGGAGGCCCTGAGGAGCCTGTATGCACTTCAGGGTTACGGGGGTCAGAAACAGATCTGGACCATGCATGCAAAGTCGTTGAAGTTTAAAATTTTATCCTTTTAAAATAGATATAATATACCTATACATGATATAATATTTGTATATATGAAATCTCTCTATATTTGTTTAATTTGAGCCATTCAATCTAAACCAGTGTACAGGTACACAACGAAAACTGAAAGGCTTACTTATTTTTCCCAATACAGTGTAAAGCCACCCTTCTCTGAGAGTGGGACTCGCGGACTCTGATGTTACAGCTTTGCTCACCTCCTGGCAAGGGCAGTTCAATCCCCACTTTGTAATGGAGCCCAGGGGTTGAAAGTTATCTTTAAATATATGTAAAAATCGTTGTCAAAAGTAATGTTATTAAAATAGATTTATTATCCCGAAGCTTGGCACATGTTCTTGTTTTAACGAAGCTGGGGGACAGTTAACGGTCCCCATGCTGCGTTAGGGGGAGGCTGTGGTCTCCAGGAAAGAAAGCCAGCTCCTTCCTTGCTCCTGCCCCTTTCTCTCTTGTCACCTGGTTTTCCAAAGCTCTTCCTCCATTCTCCTAGGTAGGGAGAATTTGTAAATACTAGATGCAACTTCGAAAATGCTCCTGGATTTCAAGCACTAACCTCTTCAAATCCTGCGAGGAGGGCAAGGAAGCCAGCCCAGTGTGATACCTATCAGTGTTTCCAAAGGTAAAGAGTATCTCTCATTTTCTCAAGAATAAGAGAGCAAACCGACTTGTGTTCCCTGGTCCACTGTACTAGCCTGGCTCTCCCCGGATGTGTAAAGCCATTGCAATGGGCTGGGCTTCTGTTAAGACTCAGCTATTAAGAGGTGGTCGCCTCCTACGGACAGGCTCCCACGAGCCTCACTGCCCACAGAGCTCTCCCGGGCACCTGGCAGCTGGAAGACTGCTGGGAAGCCGCTCCGAGGTGCAGAGAAAGCGCTCGGAGTTCCACACTCGTCTTCCCTGCAGCCGGCTCTCTGGAAATCTCAGTCTGGGACACTGGGACCCAACATTCCCCTGTAATCTGGCCCATCTGAGGTGCAGAGGAAATCACTGCTGGAACAGACAAGGGTGCCACCCATTTCCATGACTTTAGAATCCGACTTGTTGGAGTTAGGGTTCTATCTGCCTTTTTGTATGAAGCAGCCTTCTGTCCTGCCGTGCCAGGCACCAGTCATGGGAGAAGTCTGGAAGGCTGGTGCTGACCGGAGTCTAGGACACAGCTCAGCTCCACACCATTATGAATTGCCTCCTGGCTGGATCCTGCCCTGTAGCTCCTACCAGGATGAGGAACACTTGTGTGGGTGCAGGGCACACAGACTGCCGAGCTCAGGGTGGGTCCAGACCTTCACTAGGCTCTGGCCTTCTTGCTCTGTGGGCTCTGTGGCTCTTCCACTTGGGCCCGCTTCGGCAGGGGCTCCCTGTCCTCTCGGCTGCCAGCCAGGTGCTGAGACAGGGCCGCACGCACCAGCCGAAGCTCTCGCTTCTCCTTGCGCTCCACCATCTCCTCAATGTCCTCGGCAAACAGGGCCTTCAGAGGAGCAATCAGCTTGGGCACTGTTGGAAAGTCTCCAAAGCAGACCTGGAAGGCCAGAAAGAGGATAGGGACATGCCGCAGAGGGGGCAGGGTGGAGACAGGCGCTCAAGGTGCCAGGACTGTGCTTGCAGAACAGGAGCTCTCCTTCCTCCCACTTCCTCCAGCCAGCCGGCCAAACACAGCTAGAGAAACAGTGCACAGGGAAGGGGAGGAGGGAAAGGGGAGCCCTTCAAAAAAGGTGCAAAGACCGTCCCACTAAGAGCAGCGAAACCGAATGAGCCTTAAGAAGGCCGAAGGGGCAAGGCCTGGCAAGCACCTATCGCACAGGCCCGTGCTGAGCTGCAGCGGTGTGGTTACGGGAATGGTTCAGGCAGTGAACCTGAGACCAACATCTAGAAGGAACTTTAGGAGGCAGGTGTCACCGTCAGAGCCAGGACAACTGAGTGACGGGGAGACTCTTACCTGGGGAAGGCGGAGAGGGCTGAGTAGACAAGGAAATGAGAGGAGGTGAGGCCCATCTCCCCCTCCCAGCTTCCCAGCCCGCACAGCCGCAGGACACAGACCTGCATGTGGTCAAAGGCGATTCCAACCCTGTCGTTGAAGTCGGGGCTGAAGAGGGGGATCTTGGCGTAGCGCTGGCTGAAGTGGTTCAGCATGATGAAGCCCGAGTTCATGCGCATCCCCACGCCGATAGCTTGGGAGGTGGTGCTGCAGGAAAATACATGGCACAGCTGCAACCTGGCCCTTCCACGGCCCAGGCGCCCAGGGGAAGCCGACGGGTGTCCTCAACTGGCACCTCTTTACGACTAAGTCCTTTTCACACTCCCTGGAGGACACCCACAGTCTGCTGGCTGTCAGCCTCCCATCAGGGAGTGAACCTGGACCACAACACTCGTTCCTTCAAACAGCCCGCAGTGACCACCACCATCACTGCTGCCGCCAACCACTACGTTCTTCTGACATAACATATGGGGGCTACTCCGGCCTATTTCTCCTTCTCTCAGAACACCACCCCTCTGCAGAGCTTTGCCTGGATAACTCCACGAAAACAGGCAGCAAGCCCGTGAAAGACCCAGCATGGGTGCAAAAGCTCGCAGCCCTCAGGAAGCCAGTGGGCCTCATGTTACTGGAGAGCAGTTTATCTCCTGGGGCAGATGCAAGGCTACTCAGGCTCTATGTGATGGGAGGGACTGGCTGACATCAGACTGACAACCTGCGCACCTGTGTGTCTTCTCTACTGCTTCCTCCTCCAAGCCATCCTCCAGAGTGGCTTCATGGATCAGGAGAGTGGCATCTTTCCCTGGGGAGAACAACAGGCGTCAAGGTAGAGTCCTCTGGAGAAGCAGCACGTGGGGTAAGGATCACGGCTGTGTCCCCACCCAGAAATGCTCTGCTCCCTTAGCCTTACACACCCATGTCTCAAGTCTCCATATGTCCCAGCATACCTGTCCACATGCGCCGCCAGCTACACAAACCCCATGTGCTGATTTCTTCCTCTACTCACCCATCTGGACCAGCGCCTCACAGGGCATGGTGTCCCCTGAATAGACCACTTTCCAGTCGGACGTGTGCACCAGTGCACAACCGAAGGCGTGCTTGCAGTGCCGAACCAGGCAGGTCTGAAACTGAAGGAGCAGAGCTGGAGAGCTCTTTCCTGCTGTCCCCGCCCTCACCAGGCCTACGGCTGTGCCCCTCACCTCTTTCAAGTCACAGGTTTCCAGCAGTGAACTGATGAGACTTTCAGTGGTGGGATCAGAGACCTCCACCCCTTTCTGCAGGTATTTGGCAGGAATCAAACTGTGAGAAGATAAAACATTTGGAAATTATAATGAACATTTTTAAAAATATCATTTAACATCTGGAATCAAAATTTAGATCTTTGGCAGGAGCCTCTGATTTTTATTTTTTTTTATTTTTGTCTTTTTGAGACAGGGCCTCATTATGCAATTCAGGATGACCTTGAGCTCACTTTGTAGCCCAGGCTGGCCTCGAACTCGGAACAATCCTCCTGCCTTAGCCTCCCAAGTGCTGGGATTACAGGTGTGCGCCACCACGCCTGGCGAGCCTCCGATTATTATGAAGAAACACTATTAAAAAGGTAGTCACTAAGATCCGGAAACTGACCAACCAAAAAGCCAAGTCGATTCTTCAAGTTCACTAAGGAAATCTAACAGGTGAAAGCCCCCTTGGCTCAGGCCATACAGATCACAGCTGTCTCTGGGTAAAGGGGCAGCCTTCTTGTGACACAGGGATGGGGCTAATCCCTCATCATCTAGCTGCCTGGAGTGGACGGTCTCTGAGCTACCCACTGTTTGGGTGCCTGGCCCTGACACTATCTTACGGAGACATTATGGCCAAAGTCTAGAAAGCTATAGAACTAAGTGAGGACTGGGAAGAAATGGTGCAAAGCAAGCAAATCTTAAGGCCAAGGCTGCTGGGGGATCCTGTTAACTGCCCTGGTGTCGACCTTGAATTTTTGGAGGCAGTGACAGTGAAGGGCAGCAGCCTGGAATCAGGCAACCCTGGACACTCACCTAATGTGGTGCAGAACCTCCTGGCACTGGTTGTGGTATTGCTGCAGCCACGGTCTGAGCTGGATGGGAGCTACCACCAGCAAAGGGTGGAACGGCTTTCCCAGAGATGCCTGAAACAGTGAGACCCGAGTGCTGAGTCCGCAGAGGAACACGTCAGTGAAGTCTGCAGTGGCAGGGTGGGCTCATGATGTGTAAACCCACTAAACTCGAAGTATCAGTGAAGCTCTGCCCTTACCAAAGCACGCCCTCTCTGCAGCAGGATATTCAGCAAGCCCTGAGAAGGAAAAACAAGATCTGGATCAGCAAGGTGCAAATTCAATGTCTTCTCCTCTAGCGTTCTGTGTCTTGCAGTTCTTTGTTCTCTATAAGCCTGGCACTAGCCCTCTACGTGGCCACGGTTGGGATGTTCCCCGTGCCGACCCATGAAGCATCACAGGCAGAAAGCTACATGGTCTAAGTTAGACCAGCAATAGCCTGGGACACAGGAACGCCTAGGGTTGCCCAAAGTGAAGGCCTCATAGCCATCTCTGACATCTGACCAGTCTCCTCCAGGACACTGTGAGAAAGACAAGATTCAAGAGTTGGGAGAAGCCAAACCGGTTCTGTCGCATGAAAAAGAAAACACAGAGATGTGCCATTTTTGCTTAGCACTGGGGTTTTATGAACAACCTCTTCCCAGTAAGAAATGAGTTGTGTTTGGAGGAGGAGGGAAGACAGCAGCTGCCTGCAGGCTGGCGCTCTGGGTCAGACCTGACACTCACCGTATGGTGGTCCGCGTGAAGATGGGACACAAACACAGCGGTGAGGGAGCCCAAGACCCTGTCCACGTCACTTCCATAATGACGACACAGCTGCCCGAATGTGCCTTCGCCACAGTCCAGGAGCAGAGACTTGTCAGGGCTATGGAAGAAGGGACAGAGACTCACCCCACAGGAAGGCTCCTGACAGCTCTCAGAATGTCTGCCTTCTGAGTGCAGAACGGGCAGAAGCCATGAAGTTTCCGTCTTCTACAACCCCTCCTACCTTCTCTTTGAAGCACTTATATAAAAAGCCAGTTAATTTAATCATAAAGTAGGTTTAGTTAAGTCTGTCCTCTCTGAGAAGCCAGTATGCAGAAAGCAAGCAGGCATCAGTCGTGCATTTCTCAGTCCTAAGAAAAATACTGAGTTGCAAGTATCTCATCTCAGGGTGCATCCTGTCGCTGCCAACACTTACTGCATTATCTGGTCGTCACTTCTCCATCACTAGCATCTAAGATGACAAAGTGAACTTGAAACTAACCTGGTATTTCAGTGTTCCTTCCTTCTATCTGCAGAGGTACCGTCTACATTTTATAAGGCCTCTGATTATCTCTCTGCAGATAGATGACCCCAAGCAAACCTCAGACCATTAGCTAAAAGAAAAAAAAATGTTCAAGGAAGTCTAACAAAGTGGATGAACATGAAATCAACATACAAAACCCAAAAGCTTTCCAACACACCAGCAATAAGGAGTTAGAGTGACAATACAATATAGCAGTTAAGATACCAGTTTAAATTTTAGACTTGCCACTTACTGTGCTGGAGATCTACAAAGTAAGGAATCTAAGTCTCAGTTTACCAATCAATAAAATGGGTGCTTCTTTACCACTTCATAGAATTAGTGGGAAAATTAAGTAAGACTTTCTTAGCAGGAGCAAATCAGACAGCAATATTAGCTCTTTTCTTTTTCTTAAAAGTCATAATGGGGTAAGTTTTGTTGATTCCGAGAAAGAAATGAGCCCATCACTCCTCCCTCCAGGATACTCTTGAGATCACCAGTATTAGCCTGGGCAGTGGAACAGAACTTCTGTTTGAAACGTCAGTGTGCTCTCTGACAGGTGGCTGTTTCCTGGGGAAGCAGTACTACCTTATGTTGACAAGCGTGGCACTGACATTCCGAATCTTCATAGGGATGGCAGATCCTGTTCCAAGGAAGATGATTTCTGGATACTGTTTTTTTTTCTCTGGAAAATACATGTATAACAGTCCATTTTTCTGAGTCAGTAAGTCAACACTTATTTTTCGAACAGTTCTCCTACACTGATCAGGCTAAGAGGAAAACACAACACTATAAAGCCCTAAGAGCCTGTCATCTCAGTGTGTGTCCTGGGCAGAGGAGTAGTAGGCCTTATTCCCTTGCACACCCTCAGTGAGCCGGCATTTGGCCATGAGAGGTAAGCAATGCAGTTAAGCCCAGGTTTCCAGGAGGCCCTCGTGGACCACCTCCTAAGAAAGGTTTCCTCAGTGTGAGACTGTCAAGCTGTCTACAAGAGAAGGGGCACACTGGCAAGGACAGCAAGTACATTTTCTGGTCCTTTCTTTAAAAGAAATCACTACAGCCTGGTGTGGTGCACACCTGCCATCCCACCACTTGGGCACTGAGACAGAAGGGCCATGAGTTCAGGGCCAAGCTGGGCCACTCAGCAAGTTTACAGTGCAGAGGGCCAGGTCTCCACAGAGAAAGGAAAAGGCAGAGCCAGCAGTCAAATCCTGGGAGGCTGAGTGATTCCAGTGTCCCTTTCTCCACCTCATCTAGCCTGACAGGCCCTTGTGTGTGTCTGTAAGGATCCCGATCTCAGCAGGTCCACATGTAAGACTGCCAGTCATGGACAGAGGGGAAAGGAACTGTGGGAAGTCAGTCTTCCCAAAGCACATGTGGGTGGAGGTGCTGAAGGTCTGCCCGCCTCTGTGGCTTGCCTACTGCTGACCTCCACAGAGGAAGGTACATTTGGTGAAAAATCATTTGGCTAAATTAAAACCCCAAACCCTCGTCCTATCCTGGCATTCTCTTTGGCTATCACTGCTTAAAAGTAACACTAGAAAAACCAGTAAGCACAGAGGGCACAAAATTAAATAACTACTAGCTGGGTATGGTGGTACACACCTATAATCCTAGCACTGGGGAGCATGAGGCAGGAGGATCACTGCACATTCAAGGCCAGCCTGAACTAAATAGCAAAACCCTGTGTCAAGGAGACAAAAAAATAAAAATAAAATTCACTACTATTCCTGATGGGGTGAGGAAAACCCAAAGAAGTGACTGAGTCGGCCAAATATGCTGTGGATCCTTATAAGCAAACTCAGGACTAGATCTCAAGTCAGAGAAGGCTGCACGCAGAGCTCTCCACAGGACCCTGCGGATGATCCCCAAACCACTGCACACATGTACCTTGGGAAGAACGCTTGGGAGCCACTACAAAGTTGGTCTTGGGTGGGACACAGGCACCGGGGATTCCCAGACTCCATCACCTCACCCCAAAGGCTGTAACTCTAATGCAGAGGCAGCGTAGGGAAGCCCCAGATTATATAAATAAACTAGGTTAGAATGTGCTCTGTGAACACTCTGCTCCATACTGTGAGGTCCACGGCAGGTGGCAGAGTCCAAAGAGAGAGGCTGCCCTGTGGTCTCCCACTCACCTGTGGGGGCTGGGTCATCCTGTACGCTCTTCCTATACTCCTGCACACTCTCCTGAAAATTGGGGAGCTCCAGGGCCTCGGCTATGAACTCATCAGGGTTGCAAGTAATAATGGCATCCCTGCAAAGAAAGAGGCATTACGAGTAACCTGAATGGGGCGTATGGCCTCAGCAAGTGCTGGTCTGGATATGCAGCATCAATCCAAGGGGGCTATGCACAAAGCCTTCAGATCAAGCCTGTCTGCATCTGGAACCTTCCTCAGCTACGTGGGGTATCTCAGAATGGGCTCTGAACAGCATGAGCTCCTCAGAGCATCTCAAATCAGACAACTGGGCACCACTACTGCTCAGGATCAGATAAGCATTTGTGGTGGGAGCTCCTATCCTGACCACTACCCCACCCCATACTGCGATAGCCAAAAATGCCTCCGGACATTGCCAAGCGGCCCCCCACTGAGCAGCAGGGCCCTAGAGAGTGACTCTCAAACTAAGTGCACAGAGCTAATTGCTGGGAATCTTGGCAAGTGCAGAACCAACCTGGGAGCTCTGAAAGGGGCCTGAGAACCTACTACTGGAGATGATGCTGGCATTGCTGTCCTACCACACTGTGCGGCAATACCTGGGACTGATGGCTCTTAAAATCACCGGGAACTCAAGAAGTAAGACCCAAACCAACTCTCAAGATTCTATTTCAACAGGTCTGTGCAGGGCCCCAATCTCCCAAGCACAAGGCGAGTCTGAACACTGGCTGGGTGACACTGCCTGTTAACAGCTTGGCAGGTGCTGATGAGGGAAACAGTAGGCCCTTTGGCCTGTGGGCCGGGTCACCCTACCATGCAGGCTCTTTAGGAGCGCTAGCCAACCGCAATGGCACACCACACCCAGGCACAGCCCAGACTGTGGTCTCTCCTAACCCTGACGCTGTGCAGCAGCCAGGACACTTAAATGACTCCAGATTCAGAGCACTGCGGAGCACTTTTCACTCTCCTGCCTTTAGAATACTGGAAAGAGGCTCTCTAGACAGCAATTTATAGTTACCAGGGCCTGAAGAACTGTCACACTCTGACTGGGTAATCCCACATTTATAACCTGCCTTCAGGGACAGAGTTCTCTGCTAAGATTTATATACAAGACATTTATTTTTTCATTAAGACAGCAAAAAATTGGAAATATCTGAACAGCTCGAGCTTCTCACAGCATGAGGAAATGAGTCAATACCTGTAACTAAAGTATCAATAAAACCCCTACTACTGGACACTAATGATACATTAAAAAACTGACAAAAACCAAGTCATAGGCCCACATACACATATTTTAAACACCCCCATATACAAAAATTTAAAAATATAAAATGTTTAGTCTCTCGCTCTGTGTGACATGACAGTAACTTCCTTCAGCAGACATTTCCTATATTGTAAAACAGTTACCATTACCACTGTTACCATGGAAAACAATTTCTGAAAAGGGTAATCACTGGTACCAAATCTCCCAGCTTTACCCAAACAAGGGCCAGGCTTGCACCCGCTCACTGATACACTGTCTGCGGCTCTTCTGGGCTATGATGGCATTGCTGAGCGCTTAAAACAAGGAGCATATGTCCAAAAGCTTCGTGAAAACATCCACCACTGGGCTATTTACCAAAAAGCTGCCTGCCCAACCTAGACAACTGCGCTGGTTCAGAACAGCACAGACCTCTGCCACTCCCGCCTGGGACGGAGCTGGTACTTGAGGAGGCATTCACCCCGGACAATGGGCACACTGAGGGCCGGGCTTTCCTCCTGAAAGAGACATGAATGAACACACTCAACAGCGCCAACAGGACAGGGGCTGGGCAGCCAGGGAGGTGCTGCTCTGGGACATTACCTTACTGTGGAAACTGCTGAGCAGGGGAAAGATATCTGGGTGGATGAGGTTGAGCTGCGTTTGAATCTTGTGGCTGCGAAGGTTGTGGACTGAGGCACAATTCTCATTCAGGATCAGGTGCTGGGTGTCAGGTCCAAACCTACGTTGAAACCAACCACACAGTGACTGCATCCATTAGGAACAAAGCTACCCAAGGAGCAGCACTGGACATCAGAGTCCTAACGTAGATGGAGGTATTCAAAGAGATCCCTCACCTGCCCCAAATAGTTACTACACGGGCAGGCATAATTCTGCTGCTTCTGTCACTCACAAGGTCCAATGTTTTCCCCCTACCATCGCTGCCTGGGGTGTGCTGGAAAGAGTGGTGGAAAATCCAAGAAGAATCAAGACGTTCAGATAGGGATGTGAAGACAACATGGAGCGCAGGCTCCATAAAGAAAACTCACAAGAAGCCGGGCGTGGTGGTGCACGCCTGGAATCCCAGCACTTGGGAGGCTGAGACAGGAAGATTGTTGTGAGTTCAAGACCAGCCTGAGCTACACAGTGAGCTCAAGGCCAGCCTGAACTCACAGTGAGACCCTGTCTCATAAAGACAATAAAATAAAAAAAATAAAATAAAATAAAAAGAAAACTCACAAGAGAAAAACAGATGATGTCGTGACTCAGACCCTCAAGGACTGGGACAAGGAGTAAGGGGGGCTGACAAGCAATCTGAGGGTGTCGCAGACATGCTCTTCCCCCGCTGCAGCCACGAGAACATAGTACTAACTCTGGACTCTCTTCTCCTAGTTACTACACGACTGTACAGCATCTACCGCACAGGCTTGCCGGGAAGAGTAGGATATAGGAAATGCAGAGTACTGAACACACCAGCTGACATGCAGCAGGCATTCCATAATCAGAAGCTTTCATATTTGCAAGTCTCTGACTTAGCATACGCACATGGCATCATCAACCGTAAAACAGTTCTCGTTCAGACAGCACCGAGAGTAGGAAAGATATAAAAAATGATGTGGAATCAAGCCCTGGAAAAGTGGGATGTATGTATACACCATGCCACCTAGTGGTGGTTTCTCTCCTAGACAGTGGTACTAATGGGCACTTCAGAAATCCTAAGGCAGGTTCCCAGAGAAAGTGCTGACAAGTACAGAAGTGAAGTAGTCAGCACTTAACGGAGAGGGCATACATCACCACCCGGAAGAGCTGCCCCGTGTTTGGAAGGCTGAGCTCCATACCTCTCCATCCACTGCTGGTATCTGCTGTCCAACAGCACAGATTCTGGGGCCATGTGAACCACGACAGCCACAGGGGCATCAGTCTCTCCTTGGTACCTAGACAAAGGAAGGCGGAATGGGCCTCTGTTTTATGAAGTGACAAACGCAGGACACATACACACACATGGGGACTGTGCCGCAAAGTGCTGGGCCTGGGAGAAAACTTAGAACACAGATGCATGCATCCAAGATTCTACCCTGGACTAACCCTGAACCGTAAAACTGGCTACGTTTTCCAACAGACAAAACAGAATGGCACTCAGGTCCAGAGGACGTTCCCAGGCTGCGATTCTGTCCCTTAACACAAGCTCGTGACCCACACGGTCTCAAAACACCCCGCCCTACCGCATTTGGTCTGGTGTAGGTTAAGTGAGGGAAACTCATGTAGGCAGAAACAATCCAAATAATGATTAATTAGAACTCAAAGACACGTCCAGAATGTATTCTAGACTTAGAACTTTAAGAATCCCAGTTAATGCTGTAGTTCTTGGTGCTTGAGGTTTTCCATGTTTTCTATTTTATGTCAGTGTCGTGCATAACGAAGTACCAGTAGCCATATAAATCCTGTAAGAAGCCTGACAGGCATAGATTTCACACCTGAAACCCTGGGGCCCTGCTGGGCTAGGCTTCCCACAGCACCTGTGGGCGTTCATTTCTGCAACCCGCAGACCCCACATCCTTACCTCTTAAAGGTGGCATTGTCACAAATGGGCTGGATGAATCCTTCATCTGGACATTCTACCACAATAAAGGCAGGACCAGGGTCCGGGGGTGTGCAGAGCTCTTCAGCGAAAATCTGCGAAGTCAAACAGGCTGGCTCAGCAGGCCCTCAGTGCTCTCCCTACCTGAATGGCCATCGAGACAGCTGCTGACGTTACACATCCCACGTCCACAAAACTCACCTGAAGAGCTACCACCCTCCTGCTTTCTGTATGTACTTAAAAAGACAGAAATTTAGCTTACAGGGACATTTCAAAGGTAGGGTGGCTAGAAAACAAGGCTTGATGTTCAAGACTCTGCAGTCATTGGTCCTCACAGCCTGAGACACTAGAAAAAAATCTTGACAAAAAACATGCTGGCAAACACTGGATTTGGTGGGATACACCTACAAACCCAGTACTCTAGGAGGCTGAGGCAGGAAGATCATAAGTTCAAGCCCAGCATGGTAACTTAGCAACTCTGTCTCAAAATAAAATAAGCTCTAAGTTTAATTCCTAGTACCAAAAAAAAAAACAAAAAAAAGAATCCACACAAATAAACAAACAAAATCCCAAACACAAAAAACCACAGTGGCATTCTTCTGGGTTATGTATCCAAAGCTCATCTGTACAGGGTATTTTTAGATACTGTCCTGATCTCAAGTACAAAGAAAAAGATCTCAGTTTATAGGAGGACCACTAGATCCCAAACAGAGAAATCCACAGGATGCCCAGACACAGCAGCACTGATAAGCAGCCCAAGTCCAGCTGAGCGCTCCACTGCACAGGCAAGGGCCAGAACTCCAAGCTGTCCCCTCCCTTCAAAAGTGGGCTCTACAGGGCCTCAGCCAGATGGCAGCCCTGTCCAGAGCGCCAGTCTGCTTGTAAGTGTGGGTCATCCTGGAGACCTGGTGACTCACCTCTCTTCCTTCGTACGTGATGCTCTTCCCATCCTTCACAGCAGCGATGATGGGTGCAATGGCAGCTGTCCCCCTGAAAGGAAGACACAGGGCCCTGTAAGATGTGTTCCCTTTAAGCGCGGAGGGGACCCATGAGTCCCCAGAGCCTCGCCCCTGATACTCACACTGGGAGGCCCAGTTCCTTTGCTTTGAGCACCAGGAAGTTTCCTTTCTTCAAGTGGAGCTGTAACACAGAGAACACAGCTGTAACTTCAGTGGCCAATGTAGAAGCCTGGTTTTAGTCAACTTTCCCAGAAGTGTATTTTTGTGTTTTTTAAATTAATGTTATTTTCTTACAATTAAAACGCAATTCATTGTTTCCATAGTGTATACACTTTTTGAAGGAACTGTTTAGCACTAAAACCTGAAGAATTTAAAACAGTGTTTTAGGGCTGGGGATACAGCTCAGCTGCACAGCGCCTGTCTGGCAAGTGCAAGGTTTTGAGTGGGGTTCTGGGTACAAAAAATAAAACAGTGTTTTATTGCCCAACATTAACTCATTATAAATGTAACAAATTTTGCTGGGTATTGTGGCACACACTTGTAATCGCAGCACTGGGGAGGCTAAAGCAGAAGGATCATTGCAATTTTGAAGCCAGCCTGCACTACATAGTGAATTCAAGACCATCCTGAACTATACAGCGAGGCCCTGACTCAAAAAAAAAACAACAAACAAACAAATATATACAATTTCATGCTTTTTTTCATATCAAAATTAAGGGTATCCATGTTTCGGGGCTGGGGATTTAGCTCAGCGGCAAAGCGCCTGCCTGGCAAGCGCAAGGTCGTGAGTTCGGTTCCCAGTACCGGAGAAAAACCAAAAAAAATGTTTCCTTCAGGAGAAACACAAGGGCACTTGGGTTGTGTGTCTTCATTCTGCACCCACCGTTACTAGCCCACGGGATGCTGCTGAAGCACCGCTTCCTAAGGCAATGGCCAGGCACACTGCTGTGTGACGCACTATTCCAATGACAGTGGCAGTAACACAGGAACAGATGTGTTTTTTACCTCCTAGATTTTTCAAATATTTGGCAATATAATGTTGCGCTTATACTGGAGGAGAAAAATTATAGTAACAAATTCCCAACGTGCTCTTATCATGTTAAAAATAATCCTGTCACAAAGCCTCATGATCATTCTGTACTTCGGTCAAAATACTTTAAGGGTCTACATATTTTGCATAAAACAGAAAAGTCAAAATGGCATTAGGAAGCTAACCATTCTTTGCTGAATTACATTTGATCTTCACTTCTTTAAATCTGGATAAAGTATTTGGGTTCAGTTTTCACTTCCTGAAGGTAAGAAGTTACTCTTAGAACCAAGTCTCAGATTTGGATCCCAAAGTCTCATTCTCAGGATTCCAGAATTCTCCCTCCATCTCAAAAAATACTGTCCCGGAGGGAGCAGTACCATCATTCTAGATGAAGAACTGCAGCTTCACTGTGTGCGCATCGCCCATGGATGACGTTAACAAGCACTACAGTGAACAAGCATTCTCTTGTTCACTACAGTGAACAAGATTCAAATGGGTCTGAGGATGGACACGAAATGTTTCTAACGCTAACAGGAACTTGCATCTAAGCAGCTGAATTTCACCCATATAGATCTGTTCCCTGCATGAGGACAGCAGACAGTGCAGAAGACAGATGAGAACTACACATCCAGCAACACCTGCGAGCCACCCACGAATGGCCTAAACCACACACTGTTCTCTCAGACGGGGTTTCTCAAGCCTTGTGCCCATAGCTTCTTTCCTCTGACCTCCCAGAACTTGCACTAGCTCAGTGCACTGCTTTAAAACCTCAGCGGCAAAGCAGCAAATTAACTACAAGGGGAAGAGAGGCTGTAGGCTGACCGTGTGAGAACAACCCTCTGAAGCAATGCCAGGAACAGGAAAGCCAGTGTGAGCAGCCTGCAGCTACTGAGCATCAAGGCCTACAGCTCCCAAACAGCTGCCTGCGGACAGTGCAATGGCCAGAGTGAGAAGAGCATCTAGCACAACTGAAGAACTGTCACGTGAAATAGTTTAAAAAATTACTTTGGAGTCTAAAACCGCAACCACCCAAGGAGCGCAGACTGACAGCAGTACTTTACTTTATAAAAATTACCTTTCATTTAAATGCACTGACAGAAATGATACCGGCAATGATCCAATAACTAAATTCCAAATGTATTTTTAAATTAACATTATTTTAACACCCCCATCAAAGCCCACAAAGAACAATGTAGTCTTACCATAAATTAGGCAAAAATACTTGCTAGAGGTTATAAAACAAAATTATAACTAAGTCCTACTAAAAGTAGGCCATCAGTCAGATTTTTAAAATAGCTTACTGTAATAAAAATATCTCCCCACCCACGCAGTACTTAGGACTGATTCCAGGGCCTTTGCACTGAGCTACATCACCAGCCCTTTTTATATTTTGAGACAGGGTCTCACTAGATTACTAAGTTGGTCAGGCTGAGCCTAGAGTGGTGTGACTATAGTTGTGTGTAAACGGATGTAATAAACATTCGTAATGGAATTTTGACCAATTTCAGATTGCAGATCTAGGCTTTAATGAATGCTAGTAATAATGTATTAAAATCTATCTAATGTTAATACCTTAACTACTACAGTGAAATAAATGAGAACAAAACTGAGAGAATCTGAATAAAAGCCTGACTGGAAGGCAAACACACACAGCTTCCTCTAACTGAATTCCCAGAGATTCAATCATAGGCAAACAGAAAAATGCATATGTGGACGGACAGAACACTGGAAGAGACTGAGGCTAAAAGGATATAAAGTAAGTGGTATCTGTATTTCTTGGACAAGGTAACTTAGGAGCTGTTATCTTTAAGTTACTGCAAAAGTGCTAAGTAAAGGCTCCAAACCACAGCAACACCCCGGTTACCAGCCTTACGCTCATTCACAACAGGAGTTTGGAAAGACACTCTTACCTTACATATAAAAGCAACAACCAAGGAAGGGTCCCTGCCATTTCTTTTCTGGCTAACATCTGGGGGAAAACACAGTCGATTATAACAAGCTGATGGTTGTACAGGCTTCACAAATTCACACCTCTTGATACCTAACTTTACTTTCTGTATTATTAACTAGACGTTACCATCCCAACACAAAGGTAGAAGAAGACCCTGATAGTCCTCAGCATGTCCGTTTTCTTTTTATCTTGCTTATGTTGAGTAAATAAAAAATGCAAAATTTCAGCCAGAAAAGCTTAGAAAACAACTCTTTGTAAGTGACCCATTTTACCTAATAGTGAAGAGAGCAAAAAAATAAATTGCAATGTGATTTATAAACAAAATATGCAAAATAAGACAAAAGCTAAAAGGCCTGCAGGAATAATAGAGGTAACAGTCTTCGTCCCAAGGTGCCAAAAAAGGATGGCACTGAAGGCGTCTTTGTGTGGTCACCAGGCCAAACACCTCGAATACGAGGAACTGAGTGAGCCCTGCTTAGCAGAGCAGAGCTCTTGAGCTGCCCAGTTCTGCTGCTACATCTGGTCTGGGACTTTGCATTACTTCCCAGTAGGAGGCCATTCTGAAAAGGTTTGGATCCATTCACTAATACAGTTTCCTCAGCAGAACAGCTTCTGGTTACTGAAAAACTAATCTGTATCAGCATTCCAGTACTTACAAAAAACACAAGGCCCTTTGTATGATTCAGTTTGCCAGGCTCTGCTTTCCCCTAGGTACGCTGAACACAAGTTTTGGAGCTACCCGGGGTCTTGAAAGCTCAGTGTCATCACTTTTCTGATGCCTGTTCTCATTCTCCGCCACGCCAAGGCATTATGTGCCAAGGAGAAAGTATGTGCACACATAGAACAGCAATACAAAGCAAAGAACTGTCATTTGCAACACTATGGATAAAAAGGAAAGTCACTGAGCTAACTGAAATAAGTCAGATGCAAGAAAACAAATTCTATGATATCATTTATATGTGGAATTTAAAAATGCTGAGGTCATAAAAACAAAGTAAAAAGGTGACCAGAAAGCCATGCATGGTGGTGAATGCCTGTAAATCCCACACCTGGGAAAGCTGAGGCAGGAGGATCCCTGTGAGTTCAAGGCCAGTCTAGGTGGTGAATTACATAGTGAGACCCTGCCTCAAAACAAAAGAAAA